AAGGTTAACTCCGACAAACCCTTCTTTATACAGGTCATGGTTTTTAACTTTTAAAGTCCAGAAACTGTGTTGATTAGATAATCCAGAGAATACACATCGCTTTCAACTGATGGTCTCCTCGTTCGGTCTTCAAGCTTCGGCGGAATGCAATTATTCTTATAATCACCTTTTATGTGCGAAGGTTTCAGTTTGGAACGGCATTTTTAGCTTTTCCGAAGACATCAGTCTTGCCAAAATCGACTATAACAGGGGAGAAGCTGGTCTAAAACATCGTTATTGCATTTTAGGTCATTGGGAACAAATTCACGCGTATGAATATTGTCTTACGCGACTGCCGAGTTAGGAGGGATAAGAAAATATTAAAAATAAACCTCTGGTATATACTACCCAAGAGGGTATAGGAGAGGTTAAGAATAACCCTCAGGTATACACTACCCAAGAGGGTATGCAAGAGATTAAAAATAACCCTCAGGTATACACTACCCAAGAGGGTATAGGACAGATTAAGAATAACCTTCAGATATACACTACCCGAGAGGGTATGCAAGAGATTAAAAATAACCCTCAGGTATACACTACCCAAGAGGGTATAGAAGTGATTAAAAATAACCCTCAGGTATACACTACCCAAGAAGGTATGCAAGAGATTAAAATAACCCTCAGGTATACACTACCCAAGAGGGTATAGAAGAGATTAAAATAACCCTCAGGTATACACTACCCAAGAGGGTATAGAAGAGATTAAAAATAACCCTCAGGTATACACTACCCAAGAGGGTATAGGAGAGATTAGGAATAACCCTCAGGTATACACTACCCAAGAGGGTATAGAAGTGATTAAAAATAACCCTCAGGTATACACTACCCAAGAGGGTATAGAAGAGATTAAAAATAACCCTCAGGTATACACTACCCAAGAGGGTATAGAAGATACTAGAAATTAATCCACCACCCAAGAGGGTATGCAAGAGATTAAAATGACCCTCAGGTATACACTACCCAAGAGGGTATGCAAGAGATTAAAGGTAATCCTCAGGTATACACTACCCAAGAGGGCACGAAAAATTGAATTCACACTAATTTATATCAGGAGTCCGCTCTTTGTCTGTACTCTTTCTTTTGACTAAAAGTTGAGGCATACACTATTAACTTATATAATTATTATCCTTTACTAGTTCCCGAATGTCTTTGTCGAGCTCGGCCATTCTTGACTGACATCCTTGCAATTTCCCATGATATTTCGACTGGAGGCATTTCCCGCCTAAAGTGTACGGTCGAGGGCGATTTGATTACCGCATCAACAACAAGATTATGTTTTAAGACCTCGTGAATCCATCTGCTGGATTTCTCCCTGTCTAATTAGTCCGGCACAGAGACCACTTGAAGATATAACATGCATGTTGTTTGGTTACCTGGCGTTGAACGAACAGCCTTTGTTGGCGCGCTTGAGACCTGCTGGCGGGACAGAACGTATTGTAGTCATCGCGGAATCGACGAAACAATTCATTCTTTGCAAAAGCTTTCGGCCTGATTTCACATTAACTTTTCGTTAGCATATACCAGGACTTTTTGGGGTCGACATTGGATCCCGTAACTATAGAAAGCTCAGCCGATCGATCGAAGACTTCAGCCTCCATGATAAGATCGCGCCAAGTGATTTCAATGCCAGATTTCTTGTGTTTTCGTAATTGAAATTCGAGCATAGATGCAGTATTAATTATTAGGTGAACCTTTAACTTATAATCAACAGGTTTAAGTCACTGCATAGACACGTACCGACCGCAAACGTTGATGTAATTCTCTACACTAATGACAGAAATATAGCGCTTCCGTAGAATGCATGCTGCGAATTTTTTTCGGGGCCAAAGCTCCTCATGGCAGATACGAACACATTTTATCTAAAATGTAATCAGTGGTGCCTGAATTCTCCCATATTACAAACCCGAAAACTCGGCTATCTCGAACTCCCAGTTAATTTCATCCAATTTTGTTTACCCTTGGCTCAGATTTTTCCTATAATTCAAACTTTGTAAACGTCGATCGTAAACGCCAGTATTACAACAAAGCTTACTGACACACCAATCTTTCTGAAACCATTTATGAAAGCTTCATAAATTTAGCGGCTGAACTTCCCAAACTATACCTTCTTTTCAAAGCTTATAGAACAAATGAATGTAAGAAAATCACTGCGGACTGTGCAAGAATGGTATAAACGTGATCCCTTACTGATTATCTACAGGTTTAATGATTAAATTTAGCACCAAACCTTAAATTGCAACTCGAATCTCCGCTTACTCGTTTCATTTTACCTTTCTCTTCTGAATTGAGTTTATGAGGTTCTACTATAATTGCCAACATTTGTGCTGCTTTTTACTGAGCGAATGCCTTGCGGTCTGCGACGTTAAACCCTTTTATCGCTGAAATGCAGTGTTTTTTATTCTAAGTACAACTAAGACTATAAGCAATAGACTTGAAGCAGTACTTGTCGCTCACGGAAACTTTGTTCAGCTGTGTTTCGTTGGCTACCCACCTTCTTCAAGCGTCAACAGCAGCACAACACAAAGGAAAAGAAGGCATGTACTCTTCTTCAAGCGCTGAGCATGAAAAACTCTCATTGTGAAGGTGATTGAAGGATCCAGCATGGAGTGATTTCTTGCGACTAAAAATTCATTTAAAGCGATGACGCCACACCATGTGGATTGCAAGATTATGCAAATTTACTAAAACAAAATAAACCAAAATATGCAAACCAGTTTGAACTTTACTTTTTCACTGAGTTCTGTCACGTGCGGCACAGATGTTCTTACGGTATTTGCTGTTGACGCGACTAGGACTAGACAAAAAAGCATGTCGCTCATCCCTCTACTTTCGTGAAATGAAATGACTACGATACACGAGTGAGAAGACCCTCTATCAGTCTTCAAAAATAGTTGCAAGTGAGATAAGTTTGTTTTGTCATCTGAGTCGGTAATGTGAAATGACCATCGCAAAGGGATTTTTAAACTGACTTTCCAGCGTTTTGGACTCGCTCTGACGAAGGGATAATGATCGAAACTTCAACTTTAAAATCCTTTTACGATGGCCAATTCACTCGCTCAAAGTGACTTTATTGTCTAAACCTACGCATGCATGATTCCAAGTTTATGCTTGCATGATTCCGAGAAATTACAAAAAAGAAAACTGTCTCGTTTCAAGTGGAATCTGTGGCTAAATCACTAAAAGTTCTTTACGAGATCACTGATTGAGAAACGCACTCTACCAATCTACAAAATTTTAAGCCACATGTCGGAAATCTTTAGTTGTCTTGAACAAGCAAAGTGGCCCCAGTTTCTGAATGACGGCCACGTCGGGTCACAATAATGAGTGTTCCAACAAGCCCCAGAGATATAGTACCCAAGACCCCCGCCAACACTCCAACCAACAAGACCGTCTTGGATTTTTCCTTGATTATGGTTGGAGTTTCACCAGATTTCATGGCTGAAAACAAAAATGATGACAATTATTGCAAAAAAAAAAAAGAGAATTATAGAAATCTTGGCGGCAAATATTTCAAACAAAGATTTACTCAAGTTTTTGAATACACTAAAAGAACAATTGAGTTATCCTTTATTTCTGGCACACGAATTAGCTTGTTAAACAAAAAAAAAGTAACATTTGGAATGTCAAGGTGCTTGTTCCTTTTAACCGCCCCTCCCTTCCCCGACCTTCCTTGCTCCCCTCTAACTTTCTCGCCCTTTTCTTCTCCCGTACCAGTTCCTTATGAGTCAAAATATCAAGTTGCCAAACCTGTGGACAGAAATGAGACCGAGAGTAACATTGTCATGAAACAAACCCAGTTATTTTTCAACTAGGTTATCTGCAAACTATGCTGCCTTTTACACTATGAGAGGTTTCATATATTTATCCCTTTTCAAAGCCCATAAGATATATACAGGTATTTACTAGCTTGTCTAGGTAAATTTTTGTTTTCACTTTGTGGCGTTCAGTGGCAAAGCTGTAAGAGGATTGGGACAGATTGGTGGCTCCGACGCCAATGTTTTGCTTGTTTTTATTTTTTGTCTCTTTGTTTCTGTTTTGTTTTGTTTTGTTTTGTTTTTTTCATTTAGCACTCAATAAAACTCCAACGACGCCGACTAAAACTTTAAATTTTATTAACTCACCTTTATCTTGTTCATTAGTCATTTTGATTGGTCCGACGTAGAGTTCAGTACGATATTCGTCGTGGATATTCCTCTTTCTCCTGGACTGATTTCCCTCTTCTTGACATCCCGAATCACATTTGGACTTCTCGTCGTCTGAGCGACAGACAGTCAGCTTGCAGTGAATGTAAACGTCGTCGTATCCTTTCTTAAAACGAAAGGCCACAAAGCTGAAGTTCTGATAGGCTGATTTTTCGTATTCGTACTCCAAGTATCTGTCGCGTGGGCAGCTAGAAGGAGTTGACATTGGCGAAAATTTTGTTACTGTCAATCTCTCGATGAAATGCGAACGTGTGCGATGTTAAAACCATTATTGTTTGAAAATTTTGTAAACCTAAGCTGAGTGAGTAGAGTTCCAATCAAGGTGTGAGTGTAACGAGACAAAAAGTTAATCTTCTCTTTTCCGCTAATTCAGTTTCATCGTCAACAAAACATTAACGAGTAATCAAACCTTTTTGATGTTTTGTATATGCACCAAATATTAACAGTGAAATTGTCCTTAGCCGCCCCAAAAGTGGTTCATGTTAGACAAATGATTTCAAGCGCGATTTACAATGAATATGTAAAATTAAATTTTCCAAACTCAAGAGATTGTTGCTATATTTCGAAATTCACAATAATTTATTCCATTGTTTTTAACGATTTCGCCGTCAATTTTAACTCGCTGTACTGTTTAAGACTGATTGACATGTTTTCAGTAAATCTGTACACTGTCATTTTTGTGAGGGCACACCGTACCTATTCCATTACAAATGCTGCGTTAGCAAAGCATCTTGGGCCATAACTTACCCTTGCTCAATCATTTTATGGTCTGGCTTAGCATTGTACTCTGTCGAAGGTGTTGCTTTGCATTCATCCGGGAACAAGCTCAAATCCGAGTCACCTGATTGCACCTTCAAGCTGATGTACAAGCGCTGACTGATACCAACCAAGAGCGGGAATTTCTCTACCCTTTTTGAGTTTTCCTTATCAGTGTACATGTTCATAAGGTAAGTGAAATTACCGTAATTCTCTATCAAAAAAAGAAATAAGAATGAAGAAAAAAACATTTGGCCTGAGTGAATAAAGAGTTCGAGATCCGTGCTGTAGGTTATGGACCGAGTATTTTCCGCTCAAATTTATGGCCAAAGCGCAAGGCACGCAGGCCATAAATCATACTATAACTAACTGTACAGACTGGATAAACAAGGTTGGTAGGATATCTATCATATCTCTGGGTTTAAATAGAAGGGGAAGATTTCGATTTAATCAAATTTTTGAGTTTAGCAGGCCCTGTAGTACATGAAATATGGCCCGCTAAATTGACCAGTCATTGCGCAAGTACTTACTAAAGCACTAAGCGCAAATACATAGCGCAAGTACATAGCGCAAGTACTTACTTACTAAGGCATAAATTGAAGTAATATAAGCAATATACAAGTGTTACAAGTCATGATGAATAAAAATTAAATGAATTTTTCACCACCTCTTGAAGAAAAGGTAACAACTTTCGGCTGAATGGGAAACAAAATGATAAGATTGAACAGTTATCCTCCATCAACGATAGAGTCTCTCGTCAATTTCTTGTCTGTTACACACAAAAAATTGTTAATAAGCAATTTTTTACTTTGAAAATAACAAATTCTCCGTCATTTTTTAAATGCATTTGCTGAAAGATGTAGAGTCCAAAGAAAAACTTGGTGTTAACACCAAACGTAGTATTAGTACAAACCTGCGTCTGTAACCACCTGGACGTAACGGGGAGAATATGACACTTTGGAAAGAAGGGTCTTCTTTTGGTATGAACACTTGAAGGGAAGTATTCTTGTGCTCTTTCGAGTGATGTCTGCCTCATCAACCACATCCCTTACTACTGCAATGATCCTGTTACTATATGACACCATCTTTCCATCATCCTCGTGTTTGGTCTTGCATTCTTCTAAGCCAAATCTGAATACAGCCTTGGAGTCATCTTTATAAACGGGCACACACGCCTCATCTTCAAGATGAGTTACATTGGTGTCAAGGCCGGGGTAGTTTTTGCTTTCCACAGTCACTTCAATGAAATCACTGTAGCATGCAATTTCTAGGTCTGAAAAGCAAGGAAAATATACTCGTATTTATATTAAAAAAAAAAACAACAACAACAACCAAAAGCTTTCTATAATGTTTATCTGAATTTCCATAAAGGCTTTTTTTTATATTCTTTCATGAAATGGTATTCACTTGTATGCGGGGACTCTGCTCAAAGATTTACAACAAAACAAGTAAAGAAATACAAACTTTCCCTTTCTTGCTTGGTACATAACTCTATCAGTCATGTATTTTACAATCCCAGAGAACTAGAGAGACTCTTTTTTAATAGTGCGTATAATCATAAACATACTTACTTGCTGCATCATCAATCACCATTTCTCCTTGACTGGCATTTGTGGGAAGTTCTGAATTCGTAAGTTGACGAGAACAAAGCAAAAAAGAGAGAGATAAACTCATTACAAATGCTTTTTTTTTAATATCTATATTCCATACCATGAAACACCTTTTCTGTGTGTAGGATGTGACATAATCTAATTTGACCAGCTATAATGAGCTGAAACACGGCATGGCGTGGTGCGATAGCGTGATTTGGTGCAACGTTGTGACACAGGCTTGAAGTAGTCTGACGTGACGTTATGATATGCAGCATTGCTTGAACAGCATCATGAATGACCTTGTAAGAAAGTAGCAATGATTCTGACAAATTCAATTGTGTTATTCAGTGCTTGGGACTAAAGCAAGGTCAGACGACAAAGAATTCATTTGGAATTCATTGTTCTTCTTTTTCTCATAATCATTTCGCTCAGCGCGTGAATAATCATTGCGTCGGTAATCAGTGCGTGAACAATCGGTTCAATTATTCTATTGAATCTCACACCGAGAAGGTTGTTTTCAGCACGCTATGCATCTAAAGATATTGATGAGGCGTTCGAGAGAACCACACGATGCGGCCTTCATTGTGCACTTAAGACTTGATTTGTCTGTGAAGTAGAGTTCGTCCGTTTGATGAGTGTTTCTTGTTCTAGGGAGGGACGAACTTGGGTCTCAGAGAAGAGCCGAAACTTGACAAACTTTCTATTCGCTTTTCAAAGTATCTTTTAACCAAACCATCATCGGTTTCCTTTATATTTCGGTACTTTTTCTGCAAGTCAATGGCTGGTTATTTTGTTTACAACGAAAACAATGGCGTTCTAAAATTGGCAATAATTTATCCGCGGCCAAGACTGTAGACCATTGTGTGTCGAATATATGAGTAACAGAGAAAGGCTAATATATAAACTTATCGGAATCGCATGAAAACTGTACCCAGTTTAGGTAATAAACTTTATCATGATAATTTTATTGATCAGTGTTTTGAATGATGAAGAAGAAGGCTACACCTACCTTAATCTGGGCGAATAGAATGTCTATGAATTCTAAGTCTGACTGAGCAATGACCTTGTCGGTGTTGACTCTACATCAGAGTTGTAAAATGTATTCGAGTGCAGCATATAATTGGCTTAGGGCGTTCCAACACTAGCAACACGCACACACCCATTCAATAAATTCGTCGTGTACTCTCGAGATTACACAACCAAGTTTTAAAATATTTTGGTCGAATATCTGAGTTAACAACTCATGATCTAGAGGTGCCAACCGAGATCGATTTCAATATGATAGTTGACTTATGGTAATTAAAAATCTAATATACAGCAAGCCCACTGCAATGTCGACAAGGCTGTTGTTGATATACCAGAGGCTGAACGAAGAAAAATCAGTGCCTTAAGTGTGAAGATTGAATAGCATGCGGCGAAGGGTAAGCTGAGACTTGACAGTTATTGATATATACAAAATGAGAGAGACAGTAAAATTTGTTATGTATTCATAGAAGACCGAAATTTGTGGATTCCATTTCCAGCGATGTTGTCTTCGTTGCACTGAAGGCGTGTATAGCAGTAGAAATGCATGCCTCACGAAAGTTTTCTAAATCCATGAGGAATATGTAACTGATCAAAGGTAACATATAATAAGAGTGGAAAAAGGTCGTGGATTGATCATGAAAACAAATGAAAAACGAAATCGCGTGAAGCCCTAATTGGTGAACAAATGACTTTCCCGCCCCATCGATTAGACGTTTGAAAACAAATTTAAGTGTGACAGAGATACTAGAACGTACCTTGTGTACATGACAAGTTGAATGCCACGAAAAGGTTTAAGAAAAAGACAAATATATGCCGCCCCATTTTCTACTGCCAGAGAAAGAATGATACAGTAGAATGTGCTCGGTGAAAAACCTCGCCTGCAGAATTGACACTCTCTTTATTTGTTGCTCGCCTGATCTGGCGGTGACAAAATTCCCAGACGAAGGTTTCTTGACAATGCTTATTGTTTTGACCTGTATGAGTACTTTGTGACACATCGACCTCCACGAAGTCACAAAAACAAAAGAAAAATGAAATTCTAATAAGATAATGTTGTTGGACACAGGGAATAAAACAGTGGCCCTTCACTGTATGAACACCTTTTGTGAACCGGAAATTAAGGCAATCCTGCTGTAGTTATTAGCGTTTGTTTATTCACAGGAGCCGATTCATAATCCTTTTATTATGGAGGCTGTCAGCTGGAGTTTACTTTCTATCGTTATTAAAATTTCCCATGCAATACATTTTGTAAATACTATAAGAACTTCTGTGCTGTCCATGACAGAACATTAAAAAAATAATGTTCAAACTGGTTTGCATATTATAGTTTATTTTTAAATAAAAATAACTGGAGCAGAGCTAAGATTACGAAAGTCGCCTATCAAAAGCACTTTATACGATGTCTTGTCTGTTGGTAATAAGGAGAAAGGCTATTTCCAAATGTTCAAATAATTCTAAGATTTTACGATGGATGAATAATTATCCAATAAGCAGCCATATTGAACACTTATTTAACTGGTAAGCAGTTTTTGCTAAGTTTTTCTCTAAGGAGTTTGGTCTGAACGGCTGTATTCATGAGACGCTATTTAAAATATTCAATCTCTTTGTAATTAGCTTCTTCACGTCCGGTTTTTATAATAGACACAAAGTTATCACTTATCTCAAAATGTTCCTCTAAATGGCCGCAGGGCGCCTCTCTGATGTGATCGATGACCATGGCCTTCAGGACTATTAGGGATTCTTAATCCAATACAGCACTGCCACACCAAAAAATCATCTCTAAAATCATACGAAGCGCTTTTAAGTAATGCTGAACGAGACACTAAAAAAAATTGAAGTTCAAGTAGCCTAACAGCTTATATGTCATGGAGCGTAAAAGTAAAGAAAAGAAATAACAGTAAGATGAACTAACAAACAACCAAGAAATTTATTTATAAAGTAATCCGACAATTTTCTAGAAAGAAATCGCTGGAGCCAGTCTATACCTCATTCATAAAATTTCCAGAATTGGTAACAAAAAGTGAATTTGAGACAATTCTGACACACTAGTGGTAAGACGTCGAGCATGGAAAAATTGGTGTGCAAAGTGTTATGCATTAAATTCAGGATATCGCTTCATCCAAAATGCAGCCTCTACGAAATTGGAAGTAGAATCTTCCTCTTTTCTTCCAAAATAATAAAAACATTCACCACACAGTGGAGAAAACAGACACCTACTCCGATCTGCTCCAGATCCGAAAAGAACGGATATTTTAGGGCATTCCCTGGTTAAACTTAGAGGCACGATTGTTATCCACGTGTAGTCATCAAACATGATGCTCCCATTTAACTAAAGGGGGTAAGTTTATAAAGAAACTGTGGAATAGTATAACATGGTAATTTAGTATTATCAACTGAGTTGATAACGTAAATTGGCCACCATTAAGAGATTCACTCTGACGAAGGGCTAGCAATCGAAACATTAGCTTTGAAAGTATTTACTGTGGCCAATTTACGTTATCATGCTTTCATCAAGCCCAAAAGGAAAAAATTATCATTTCTATTCTTGTTTCACTTGTGGTGTTTGTTGCAAAGGAAAAACGATGAACTACGAGCAACCCGTCGACGTTAGGAACTAAAAACATTTACACGTACGACGAACAAAAACTGACAAAAAGTTATAATTGGATTTTGTGGTCACATTAAAAATATGACAGGTGCCAATGCTGAGATTCTAAAATAGATAAGTAAGAAAATAAATATATCGCCCGTGCATATTTTAATGTAGACTTTGAGCAATTTCTAGTTTTGGGCGAAGTCTATCGCTTTAGTCAAGAGAAAAAAATTCCGTCAACACGCAGCGTGCTAACGTCAATATCTTTTTTCACTGATTTTGATTTATTCGCGCAGTGAATTTCGCCGTAAAGCAGGGACTGCTACAAGTCTAGTTTCAACAAATTTCAAGCATATATATGGAAATTACATGTTACAGAGTTACAGCTTGATTACGTATGAATCTTGAATGCTATTGGACCCTTACATTTATGACGATGTCATTAAATATTGAGCACAGAACATCAAAGTGTGATTTACGCCTACCATTACTTCAAATAATTCGAAATTATTTAGTGAATATTTTCTTAAGAGAACGATTTCCGAAAAGGGCAATAACTACAAGATATACCCACTTCCAGTAAATAATTTTAATACATCTAAAATGTTATACTCCTGAAAATCGGTAAGAACTTCGTCATCGTTATCCAAAAACAAGAGTAGAAAGAGAGATAGAGAGAAACAACAAATTAAAACAAAAACAAACAAAAGAAGCGTACACACACACATGACGTTCGCGTGAAAGCAAACCCGAAGATCACATTGAAAGAATCTGGTCGATTAACATGATAAAAAACGATTCAGTCAAAAATGTCAAAATGCAAGCGTTGTATGTCTATAAAACAGCTGGATAAAATCCGGTTTTAATGGACAGCCTATAATGACCGCAAAAGACAAGATGGCTGTAATACATGTTAAATTGGCAGTGTTTTCATTTCTCTTTGGTTTGGCTTTAACTAAAACTTGCGATACACTTTTTGGAAACCCAACCCAAGCAAGAAATCAAGATCGAATTTTTGCAGGAAAGTGCATTTCGTCTGACATGATTCCAGCATATGTCCTCGATGGCATATTCACCGTTACTGGTTGCCTGGACAGTTGTTTACGGTTTTATCACTGCACCTCCTTCGATTTCATGCAATCCTCAAAATTTAATGGGAAGATCTGTAAGATTTACGGCGGTAACCAACAGAATGTGCGTTTGGCGTCCAGGCGCGATTGGATCCATTTTAACATGAGTTCTGCATTTTTAAGACAGGTAAGCTGAATTGTAAAATTATATTTAGAAGAATAAGCATAACTTTGACTTTTGAGTAATAGTACGTTAGGATTTAAATGAGAAGAGCGAGATTTGATGCGCTTTTACGACCAACTAAGACATATTTCGTAAATCGTCTCATCAAATCTTCCTAGTAGAATTTAACGATTCCCATCAGGTTAAAATTTATCAGCGGGGTATTTCTCTAATTTGTCTTAATTTTACACTTGGCATGTGTCTTCACTAATGAAGTTACCAAAATGTAACAAAATTTCATTTCCATTTTATTACTAAAAGAAATATGATAATAAATATGTGCGTACGACGCCCGATTCCACGTCGATTTCCAGTCCCGCCAGTGTTATGATCTCCCGCGGGTATCGACCCCTCACTAAGTTGAATCGCTTCGATCTGGATGTCATGGGAAGATATGTAGATAAATTCCACCCGTTTGATCAGAACAAGGGTTTATAATCTCTAGATCAGAATTGTGAGCTACGACATTTATAGATACCTGTAGGTTCACTTGCACCTTGGAATTTATAATCGCCAAAAAATATATATCATGATGTCTAGTCCGATGCTAGATCGAACGCACTTTACAAATCCATGATTATTACTAATTTTAAATCACGTTACAGGCCTGTAGCAGCGTAAAAATATATTCATGTCCCTCACAAAAAAATTCTATTGCGTCGTGTAGATACATAGATGGCCATCATTTGAAGGTAAAACATCAAAACTATCGACAGAAGAGAAAACAAACCAACAAAGCAAAACAAAACATAGCAAAACAGAACAAAAATCTGACGAGAAGGGGAACCATGAACCTGCTACGGTGGAGCTGAAATGAATACTCTAGACGTCTAAAAAACTTGTCCAGAGTGAGATTCTGGGCTCACATTTACTACCACGGACCCTTATTCAGCTCACTTGTGAGAATTTCTGTCTAAAATCAGGTTGCTTGCAAGATTGAATGCAACGTTCCCCGCCCGTATTGCTACAATTCGCTGCATTGTACCAACTGCATAACAGCTTTCAAGTGCAAAAATTTATTAAAAATCTCGCGTTACCTTTGTTATTATTATTTTGGTTTTTTTTAATATTTTATCAGTAGAGCACAGGGTAAGTTAAACGAAATCAGGTCGGACATCCACAAAAAAATTATTGACCAGAAGGCTTCTTTAAGGCAGATTTCCTATAACTTTTTTTTTTCTTAACGATTTTGTTTTAGCAAAGACCATAGTTAACAATTCAATCGAAGTAGATTATTCTCGTTTCAGCAAATTAAGCGATAGTTTTGACTCGACAATCATCGTCGTTATTACACTCAGCCTTATAATTAATTCTTTCTATTTAACTAATTCTTTTATCAACACGTTACTAACTGCGGTTCATTAGTAAATAATCAAATCTCTTCCAGTGATAATGAATTCAATACCGCCTACGCTTGTTGGAAAGCTAAATTATTCTTGTTTCAGAGCAAAATGTCAGGTCATTTGGTCAAATTGATTTCACAGTATTCGTACGGTAACACTTTGGTCTTATCCCCAAAGTCTAACAAGTTAGCCCAAGGCTTTTGTCTACTCAACGAAGCAACCACAAAATCACTTATTTACTCATCAGTCTTCCCAGTCAAGTATCTCCAATTATCTAAAAAATGGCTACCACAGGCTTTTTGAAAGTTTCCTGGCTTTTATTGTATTGTGTCATGTCATCAACTCGAATCAACAATTCCTGTCAACAGAATGGACTATTAAGGTTTAAAGAAATCATTGATAGCAATAGAATTGGTGGACATCGATTAGCAGACATGAACATGATTGTTTTTGAAAAAGATGTGTTTACTAACCTACAGTGCTTAGATCTTTGCTTGAGAATTAAAGTTTGCGCATCTATTGATATAAAAAAACAGAACACACAGAGAAGTTGCAGAGTAAACCGCGCAAATCCAAAGTATTTTATCATAGAAAACGACGACTGGACACATATAAATGTGAGTTCAAGGGCGTTAGAGGAGGTAAGTTCCGGTCCAATATGTGCTATTCTGTTCGCTTCTTTTGTAAGGGAAATGCTGCACTCAATCAGAATCTTGCAGTTGCAACAGGTTTTCACTTTGAAAGACATCTTTTGATTTTTAATGTTGACAAATACTCGAAACTCGAAAACTACGAAAGATAATCATAGTCCAAAGCAAAACTGAGGAAGCTTTTAACATAAGGCCTGATCTTTTCTTCGGTCATTTTTTTCAATCTGAATTTTCATAATCACTTCAATTGTTTCTTGCTTTGATCAATATTTCAATAACATCTTTACCTTTCAGTTCAATAAATGATTCTTACAAATGCTTTCAGAGAACAAAAAGGTGGTACTTAAATTTAACTCAACACAAAATTCAATACCATCCTCTCGGTTTTCCTAACAAACCATACATATCCATTTGAAAGTGAAAAATTCTATGTTCAACACTTATCCTTGTTTTAAATTCATTCTAACTCCTCGTTAAGCCTTGCGTTAATTTATTGGTTTACGTGGGTAACCTTTGATTTACATAAGATCATAAGCACTTCTTAGAGTTATTGAATTTACTGGATTTTTTTCTTCCCTCTTTTTTCATTGCTGGCTGTTGTGACATTATCTTTGCATTGGCGATAAAAATCCTTGGTTTTTGGATTTACATGTTTATCATCTAATATTTTATTATTTACGAACATACTTTTATTGCCTTATTTTCCGTATAGAAATTCATAAGTTTGCCATATTTGCTGCAGTGTTAGGAAGAGATTTTGTATTCGAAATGATGAAATTTAAGTTAAGAAAATTAAGTCAGGAAAATTGCACCTGTTTCTAGTTTTTTCCTGATTATACCCTTTAAATAAGATCAATTGTCAGTCACACTTGTAAGGGTTTAGAGTAAGCTATGTTAATGATCATATCCTCTTTTAGTTAAGCAATATAATATTGCACCGCTTTTGATAGAACGTGAACTTGCTTTCTGTTATCTGTTTCATAGCATGTAGTTCTCAAGGTTACAGTGCAAACTGATAACACGAAAAAGGCAATAATGTTTTTTCTGTTCCAGATTCTTGCGTCGGCAGAAAACGAATGCAAAGAGAAAGACACAGGTAATTTCATTAAAATTGAAAAATATATTGCATACCCATAAATCACTATCAGTCAAATAGTCGATGTCAATAAACTTCTTAGGTAACTGGAGACTGCAGCCGTTCGGATTTGTGAGAACCTGTATTTTCAATAAAAGGAAATATGAAGAGAGTACAGCCAACCACAGTGATTGTGAGATTTAGACTGACTGGAGTGGGAATTTGGCTTTCATGACTGCAAAGGCCTCTTCTTTCACATTATTGAAGAGTTTGGAAGAGGGTTAAAAATCGTTCATGAGCTGCGAACTATAATATTATAGCTAAAACTTTAATATTTGTCATTAAAAGCATGCACAGAGGTCATAGAGGAACCCGCTGAGGTTGATTGGGAAAGGAGGAATCTGGATGTGCCAAAACAGAATTTACTTCATTTCTGATTTCTACCCTCTCCCCAAGCTCTGAGGTATTTCAAAATTCCCCTAAAATTTCCCGGCAATTTTTTTTTCTATCGTATCCCCTTAATATTCTGTATTCTGTATTCTGTCAGACATGTTTAAGCGTACGTGTCTATGGGAAGATAAAGCTGGAGGAAAATATTCTATTCTATAAACACATGGCATATTTACCTTAATCTAAAACTCTCCTAATCTTCCCTCCAGGTGAGTTTCGAGGAAGGTCACGAAAGCGGAATCATATGAAATTAAGGTAAATTCAACTGCGGCCTTCCTTGCAAACCTTTCCATAAATTTCGTAGATTTCGTCGATAGCCTGTCGAATAAGCGAAAATTTCGCAGTTTTCGTATATTTCTTTGGGCCTATCCGTATAACCATTTGAATTAATCTCGTAGACTTCGTCGATGGTCTTGCTCATTTCCGTAAACTCCGCTGTTTTTTCTATCTGCGTTAAATCCTGGACATTACTCCCCAAAATTATGCACAAGGCCTTGCATGGTTGAAGAGGGTCTGGTCAGCCTACCTGACAAAAAAGCTAATGTCAAATACGTATTTCACTCGAAATAGTACAGTAGACATTAGAATGAAAAGTTTTATTTAATTGGCATGAAATGTATTTTTTGCAGATGAAGCGAGTTCCACTTTAGAACTTTCGTTACAAACGCCGACTGCTGTGTCACTGGATGAGTATTGCAAGACCAAAGCACTAACTGTTGATTCATGTACTCAGAAGAAGAGGCAGAGAAACTGTAGCGGAGTCTGGGAGGCTCGAATTCTTGTAAATGGATGGTGTTGTGTTGACCCAGAAAGTTCAAGCCAACACTGTTGCTGTCCTATCCCACATTAGATACCTACGCTACATTCATTTCACATCCTGTTCTACTTTGGAGCCCTTTTTAGAGACTGCAGTGGGAGGCTTACCATCTGCCTGACATTAATTATAAACACGCAAAGCATTGCTACTTAAAAGAAATTTCAAGCGCCTTTTTTTTCTGTTAGCATGTGTAATTACTTTTTTTTCAAAAATATTTGTTTCGAAGGATTAATTAGCTTAAAAGAAAATTAATACTACCGAAATTGAAAGAAACCTAACATCAAAAGAAAGACATGCTAGCTATTTGCCTATACAAAGCCGGCTATTATTGTACCATGTTGTTTGAAAGCGCGCTCTGACGAAGGGCTAACGTTTGAAACGTCAGCTTTGAAACTCTTAACGGTGGTCAATTGACGCTATCAACTCAGTTGATAATGCCAAATTGCTTTTTTATACTCTCTCACCGACGTGGCACCACAGTTTCTTTAGAAACTTACCTCCCTTATTGTTTGAAAGATGTCACAATAGGACTTAGCATGTTTACGTCGGAAAACCAAATTTCCTCTACGCCCACGCGTATAAGGTGCAGTATGGTAAATTTTTTGAAGATAATTTTCCCAAAGCACTGAAACCAAAAGAGCAGCGTATCCACGTAGAAAGAACAGGAAAGTCGAAATAATTTATAAAAATACTATTGTAAACTAGAGAATTTTCAACAAATGACGCCATCTTGTTTAAGGGCTAATTTTTCAAAGTGAACTTATCCGTGACACATTTCATTCTAAAAGCATTAATAAAACATTCAAAGCTTAACAAGCAAATCACATCACCAAGTCGTGAAGCTTCCTGGTCTGATTCAGCAAGGTTGAATCCAGAAAGACAGTTTACCGACCGCATCAAAACTTCACATAATTAAACACTAAACATCTATAAATTCATTTCCAGCTTCCAATAAGATATGGTTCTAATTGTTCAAAGGACGGATATCCAAAGACTAAATCGCTATCAATCAGATAAGTGTTTAAAAACCTACAACGCTATCCAATGCATTCTGTGCACCGTATCATCGAACTTTCGAACATGCTGGGCCTAGAGAAAAGGAAGTTGATACATCTACCCGACCGATACTTGATTATGAAACTCTAATCTGGAAAATAAGTGCTAATACCGATACGAATGAAGCTTGTTCAGTTCGAGTATCGAAAGTAGTCTTCTTCGGGGAGAACTAATGGCAGATTATTTCCGAGGTTCCGGTAACAAGTCACCGCGTGCATTTCAATCAATAGAAAACAGAAACTCTCTGAATGACAGCCGTACGTGATGGTTCGATTTGCAGCTGTCTTAAGGAAAAAGAACTCCAGAAAGTTAATAGGTAAAAGCTACCTTGGTTTTTTATTTTTTTTAAATAAGTACTTGCTTTGTTTTTGGTCATATAGGAAACATATCCTGTCAATAACTCTGGCATGGTGTTTGACAACACAAAAAAAATACACATATTACTGCTTCCAGCTAATTGTTTTTAATCAATGAAATGATACTGGCTTGTTTTTTCCATAAATTGGAGAGCTTGTTTCGTAGTGTTTCCCTAAATTTAACGTAAAGATTTTTAGGTTCATGTAAGATTGCAATAATAAAGTGCAAAAAAAGGAAAAGAATTACTCGCGAAAAGTGGGGTTAAAATTTTGATGGCGGGAACACACTGATTGGTTTTGCTTCTGAGTTTTAATGGATGTTAAGCAAACACTAGCATATGGCCTAATCCCTTGATTTCCATCTGCTGATTTAACTCTGACGAAAAGATATTAAAATATCCGGCGAGAAAATGGAAATAGTACGCATGAAAGAAAATCTGCGTTTTGGGCAAATAAGTGTTATTTGTTCACATTGAATTTAACGAGTGTTTTTTCGGAAGACTTACCGCTGTGGCAATTAAATGGCAAAGTTATACATCGCAACGGTTGTGGTTTGCTCTGCTTTTGCAATTGGTACTCTGATTAACCCATGCCAAAGAGAGTATAGATCATTTCGAGATACCTTACAAAAACATCGGCGGGAAGGAAGGGTGCTGTCAAATTCAACCGTGTCATTTCCAAGGCAGTTTGTTTTCACCAAGATGCAATGTCTTGAAATATGCTTGAGGAATCCTCTTTGCGACGGCTTTGAGATGAGACAAAAGGTTAACAACGAAAAGAACATGTGGGCATGTAAGATATACCGGATTTCAAATTCTAGTGAAAAGAAGCAGGAAACAAACGCTGGACTCAAAAACTGGATTCATTACAACATCAGCTCCCTTGAACTTCAAAAGGTTAGCTTTAAATTTGGTTTACGGTACCCTGAGTTATGCTTCTCCTTTCGGATTATGTGTTTTAATTCGCTTTGTCCAATTTTGCTCCTTTTTTCGTCGTTGCCTTTTGCTTTTTTTTTTTGGTTTTTTATTCTTTATTTTTCTCTTCGTCTCCCGAGCGCAAAAAAAAACATAGCTAACCACGGCTATTACTGAAATGTTGGCTAGAAGCTACGGCCGGTATTCTCTTTCCTATTTTAATTTTTTTTCTTTTCTACCTTTACAAGAAAGAATTGTTTCCTTGGTAAAAATTAATACAGAGGATATTACATGGCCGTGCGGAGGTTAGAAATTTCTCTTGGAGCGTTAAAAAAATATTTAACGGGTGAGCGAAGCGAACGAGTGAAATATTTTGAACACGAATCTTCTATTTATCATGTAAACATCGATGGAAAACTAAATCATTCACTTTGATATGTATATATATATATATATATATATATATATATATATATATGTATATTTTAAGTATAATAAAACAACAGTGATCTCTTCACATGTGAGATAACATGTTATCTCCCTTAAAGTGTGAAGATATCATGTTTTGAGCGAAAGCTAATTCGGTATTTCATCGTTATCCATATAATGAAAATGAATATCCTGGCTTATTCGTAGTCTATTATCCAAAATTGCGCTCCATCCAATCACCAATGAGCAGCACTCGAGTTGAACACCTTCAGGCACAAATAGGACGGTAAACAAAGAAAATATAGAAAGATATTTCATAAGACTGGAGATCCTAAAAAAAAAAAGGTGACATTAGCCTAGATTAGTTAAATTTGATGTAAAGCACAGAGATAATTGTATTTTACTTTTCACCGGCATCAGGAGACATCAAATGAAAACTGAAGCAAAACAAGAAACAAAAATATATAGGATAAAAATTTAAGGGTATTTGGGAAGGAGTTATAATGAATACAGCCTATTTCTTTTACCCAATCAATTCCCTTTTGATTTTTCTTTTCATATACATGTACATTAATTAATCTTATCGTGACAAAGTTAAAAGTTGGAATTTGACGTAAAGTATTACATGCATATTCATGTGTATTTATGACAGTAACATACCGCAATTGATGAAAAAATATGCAGTTACAATTTATTTACTTCTTAGCCATCTTCGCTGACAATTCCACGCAAATAGGTCTCTGAAATCTGAAAATAATAGAAATCTGATGCCCCTTTGCAACGTAGTTGATGCACAACTAGTATATAACGTCTCGAGGATGTCGCTGACTTTGCACCTCTAAAATAAAAAACGTAGAATTTCATATGTGCAATTAAAAAGAAAATAATATTCCTACTATGAAACTATAAAGTTGTTTCCTAAATCTCAGCGCTGAGACGGCTTCCCCATGAGAAGTAAAAAAAAAAAAACCAAAACACTTGCAGGGCCGCTGAAATTATTAAAGACTGATGTTTATGTCAGATGAATATAAAATAACTATTTTTTTTGTGGTAACATTGCAAAGAGCGCCTTTCGAAAGATTCACGCCACTTGCTGCACGAGCTTTTCAACATCAGCTCTATGAGAATATCATTCTCTTGATGCTATATTGAACAAAACACACAAGACATTTGAAAAAGTTTTTTTTTTCCTGTAGCTGTAACTGTTTAAACAGCTGTTACTAACATTTGCTTTGTAGAACAATAAAATTGTTATGAGCAGTAATTCATAAGCTTATGCATAAGAGAATAAAACATGGGTAGCCATAATTTTGAGTTAATTTTTTTTTCATAGAAATATATACTAGGTTTTATCCTCAAGTTCCATGAGTTTCCAGACCAAAGTTTATTTTAAATTGTCAAATATCCTTATTTATACTTCTTGTAAAAGATATTTTTTACCACCGTTGCTATTACTATCGTTTGTTTATATTTCATTACAATTTCATAATCTCCGTCCTTTCTAGGGGAATGATAGATTTTTTCATAATTTTTTCTTTAATTTTGGAAATCAGCCATTTCCATAATTGAAGTAAATCATAAGTTTAGAAATTTAAAAGTTTTGTACAGTTTAGAAGTTTAGAAAATTTAGAAATTTAGAAAATTAGAAATTTTGAAATAAGTAGAAAAAAAAAATTTAGAAATACTTGAAAATTTACAAATTTAGCAATTTATTAATTTAAAAATTAAAAAAATCTGAAATAATCTAGACCAATGGAAAAAAATTGTGAACATTATATGGGATGTAGGAAATCTGCTTTATCATGAATGTTCGTGTTTGAAGTGATGCGTTATCTATTAGTTTTGAAACGTTCATTCTATAGATTAAATAACAATTCTTCAACATACTTTATCCAATGTGGAATTGTCGAGTTGTGTCATAAACAACCCATAAAAGGACACGTGTCAAATTTAACGTCACTTTTGTTAATTATCTTCAGCCAGAGCTATAAAAACTTCATTTCCGTTGTCATTTAACTAACTTAGGCATTAAAGCGCAAAACATGTTGTTGAAAGATTATTTTGCTGCGGCATTGCTAGTAGGCCTAACATTTGATGTTCACTCACCAAGTCATTCCTGCCAAAATGCTTTTCAAAGCATCTTGCACAGCCATCAGCGAAGCGGGAAATTTCCTCGGACCAATGCAATCAAGCTATTGGGAGCGCCTGTTATTTCAAAAATTCAGTGCCTAGATCTTTGTCTTCGAAATACAAAGTGTGATTTCTTCGACATGAAAAAAACTAATGCTAAGAATTCTACGAGGCCTTGGATTTGTTCAGTTAAGCAACGTGTATCTGCCCAGGATACAGAGCTCGTCCCATCAAAAGTGTGGCTTCATTTCAACATAAGCTCTCATAATCTTCAAGAGGTTAGTTCTTTGAATTGTAAAATACTGTTTTGTTCAACTTCTGCATGAACTTGAATGATATATCGTTTGCTTAGTGGATTTCAAAATCGCTTTTAAGGCAAATCTCAAAACATATTTCATATTCATGGAGCTCCAAATCTAGAGCATTTGTCCTTTCAAATAAGAAAACTAAGCACAATAGGAAAAAATGAAAAGTCTACCCCTATATTTTTTCCCAAACCTTAAAAGATTAAATATCATAGGTTTTTAATATTACAAAAACAAAAAGCTTACGTAAAGGATTATGAAAGAGCTATTGCTGTCATATTTTCATGTACCATTAAAAAAAAACCGTCAATGAGATGAATTAATTTGTGGTTGCTTTCCGCATTTGCATATCTATAATATATATGATCATGTCAGATTCTCGGCTGCAGACAATGAGCCTCCCAAAACCAAATGCACAAAATGAAGAGCATGCAAATCCACAAAAAGCATTCGATGTTTTTTCCAAAGCTGACGTACTTGATTAATGACTGTTTTACTAGGGAGAGAGTATTTATCATAAAACCTGCTGGTTTGCACACACAATAATGATTCATTCGTCACGGAAGATATCACTCAGAAACTGACATTTGGTGGGGAAATCATGAAGGCGTCTAAAAGTCTCTATCTTATTGTGAAATCAATGCTAAGAAAATATATCCGATGCCATTAGCGGCGTTAGATTTTGAAGATGAGAGCGATCCTCACAGTGTCTTACGGCAATCTACGCAGCTCAAACAAAACATTAAATGCCAAAATTAATAAAAACTTCCTCATGATAAAAAATAAAAATAACTGAAATATTCCCTCAAATTTTGATGTTAATTAATCAACATGTCGTGTTAGTCTCAACACTCATAAACTTGAAGAGATACGTCCTCTTTTTTCAAAAAAAGCTCGCAGAAATATCGAGCGAGTTTATGGAAATTTTTATAATGTCTACAAAATCCATTAATTGACGTCGGGATGTTGCTTTGACTCGCCTAAGAGGATAAAAATATGTCACAATGTCATCACTTAAGATGACACCGTCAGCAAATGGTTTAAATGGCTCCTCGTTCGGTGATGTTTTTCTATACCAAAATTTAGGAGGCAGCCAATGGCTCTATGATATAACACAAAGAGATTATCCTTAAATAATTGGTTCATACTTAGCGTACTTATATCGAGTTATGGATGCAGGTGTGAAGTTCGGAGAGCGCGCAAGGAGCATAACGGTTGTTGGAGGCGCAGCCGATAGCAACTCTAGCTTCTCGAGTGCTCTCCAAACTTCCCAAGTGCATCTAAAACTCGACAAATGGACAGCTAAAACATGAAAAAATTATTTTATGACATAGCATGCAAATACGAGTTGTGCACGAAAAAAGAGTTTGTTACAACTGTGTCGGGTTTATCAGGTAGTCGTGTTCTATCCGAAAACGATGAATAAATGACGAGGAAAAAACCATCAAGAAATATCTCAAGACCAAATATTTATTCAAAGAATAGTAAATTTTCTGCTTAGGAGCTAAAAACGTACGTATTTCTTGCAAGTGCGAGACCGCTTCGTAGATTCAGCACGCTTAGATCGCTGTTTACAAGAATTCCCAGCCAGAAAATTGCATAGGTTTAGCTTGAAGATTTTGAAACTTCCGAAATTGCACTGTTTTAAAATCGATACTTTTAGGACATATCAACACTTAAAAATATTATTTACCTTTCGAAAAACGGAGCGAAAAACTTGCAAATTTTTTCTTTTTACAAGACCCGTGCAAGTTTTGTTGAGTAGAATTTACAAACAGGAAATTAGCTAGTTTTGTGTTGAAAGTTCTGAAAATTGTACGATTTTAAAAAAGGGTCTATTGAAAGTACTTTTGGGACATATCAACACTTCAAAATAATATTTACCGTTACATAGATGAGTTCCCAACGTCGCAAAGCCTCAGTTGAAGTCAGAAAGCTTACTCCTACTTAAAGCCATAATCCGCATCGCGTTTGGAAACTGAAGTATCGTTATTTCGTCGCTTGAAAGGGCTACATGATAAATGTTTTTCGAAACGAGAAATATTTAGTATATTTTCTAGAAGATCTAGGTATTTTAAAAGGTCTTAGTAAATGCCTAGGAATTTTTTTAAAAGGGCTATCTCAATCAGGATGGAACGGACAAATGATCTTCAAAGTTTTGAAACCTCGCAGTTAAACGCGCAGGGAACTTGCAGCCGAAGTGAAACTATATTCGTCATGTTACGGATAGGTGCTTCGGAAAGGATACCAGAGCAAACTCTTAGTTGTTCACCTGCATGGTGGCCAATGTAATTTCTGTGGCTCACTTCACTGTGATGGCGGGAGATCGCCATGGTGAGCTAGCCGCGAAGGACCTCAGCATGATCGCAGTCGCTCTGACACCTTCATCGTTTTTATTAATTCAACAGTTATGCCACTTTAGCTATATTTTTCATCATTTCTGTCTTGTTTTTGAACACGAAACTACGTACATTAAACGAATGTTAGTTTCGTTTGACTTTTGTCACCGCACGTAAGCCATAATCTACCTTGAGTGTGAAAACCTTCAAAACTCGGAATGTCATTTCGTTTTCTCGTTGAAGATTTTCGTCTCTGCGCAAGTTATGAGAGCGTCAATTACGGTGCTTGGCATGTTTACAACCTTTGTTTGGTTCTTCTGTTGCTACCTGCCGGCTCGCTTGTTCCGAAATTTCACTTTCAATTAAGGAAAAAAAAGCAAGAGAGAAGTCTGGGAGATGATCGGAAAGTAGGAATTGGCAGATGGCGTGACAGCTTCAGCTCGGCTCCGTGTTTTGTACTCTGATAGAACACATTCTTTTAACCAATGACAGCGCGCGTTCTATTCCAGCTTTATTATAAGATTAATTTACTCTTGCAACCATAATGTCAATTAGTAATTAACTAGTTAATTAATGTATTATAAATTTATTATTATTATCATGAACAATATTTTCGGAGCTCAAATCCCTCGAAAGTGAATTGCAAAGGTTATCATAGTTTGAGCAGCCAATCAGAGCGCTCCTTCAACGTAACTCTAGCAACTGTTTTAGTTTATACTTAAATAAATGTCTGCCAAAACAAAGGTAATTCTAGAGCGATTTTTGGGATACTCACTTGGAGTTGATGCTTTCACTCTCAGATTTTGTCATCTTCGACTTCAGCCTGCTAAAGGAAAGATATCTGTCTCTATCAAGTTCATCGGATTGACACTGAGATTTTTCGGACGGAGATCTAGATAGCAGTGGAAAAAAATAACTGGCGTATCAAGACAAAACCTAATGACGAAGTCCCTTCCTGTTCTTTTTCAGAACAGTGAATGAAAGTTGTAACCTATCGATAATAAAGTAGACAGGATATTTTAAACTAAAACCCTGTGACGATTCAATTTCAAATTTGAAAATTGAGTAACATTTAGTGTGTACTGAACGTCCAAAATGTTTTACCGGCAAAGTCTTTAAATTGTTTTAAAGTCATAATGTTCAAATTTAAGCTTTTAATTTTTTATATATACAACATGGCTAGTATATACGTGTGGACCGCAAGTTCAAGGTTGTACAAAAAGAAAACAATAAAGGCTTTAATGTTTTTATTACAAATATACTAACGAGTGTATGTGTGAAAATGGTGAAAACAGCGCAAGAAATTGTCAGGTAGGTTAAATTGAAACAATTAAGATAGATTAGAGTGAAAAATTAATCAAAAAATAATTACAACGTTAACTTTCCATTTCCAATTTCTTTTTTACGAGCGTTCTATTTAACCTTTAATGAGGGTATTATCAACGGTACAAATATTTGCTAGTTAATGAACCCACAAACATTTTTTTCTTTCAGGGAAACTATTGCTGAATACTATGTTTTTATTTGGAATTAACGAAAAATAAAGAAGAATTTATATATGAGTGCTTATTTCCTCTTTTTCCGCTTCGCTCCCATTCAATTTTAGTTGTCATGTATAATGAATCAATGTTGGATAACCTTTTCAAGATAAATCATTGTTTTGCATTCTATACACTCTGCGTGCTGGTTAAGGATTGAATTTTGGCCTTTTCACCAAGAGAAGCCTGCCCAAAGTGTTCCCACACTCAATGCGCATATTGGGCCGTCTCTAACTTCTTGCGACGTTGAAGCTGCAAGCACTTAATGGACAAATTTATCATTGGTGCTGAATTATGAACATAAAAATTAAAAACCAAATGGAAGACGAAAAAATTAAATGGTGTGCATTAGCGTTGGACCTATATTACATTTCCTTTCCTTGATTAAACAGTGTCTAAATGTGAGACAATGGGAATGTTTGGAGTAAGGCTAATGGCTCTAAATGGTGTGGAAGAATTGCGATTGATATAAGGACGTCAGATTCAAAATACAATTTTCGTTAAAGACAGTTTGCCGTGTACCATTTAATTACAGTTTCATTAGGGAGAAATTGCGTGTGAAAAACATTGACGTCAAGTAAACTGTGACATCTGTGCGGTTTGGATACTGAGGTAAAAATCTATTATAACCATAAAAAGTAAAAAATTAAAAACGCTGTTCAAGTTAATTTGTTTTAGCTTTTTTTGTTCTTTTTTTTAAATAAAGCCGCATTAAGATGAAAAGAGAATTTGACTTACTTCATTAAATTAAGTCAATGCATATTTTTCGCAGTCATAAGGAAAATTACCATAGCGTACACACTTGAACCAAATCCGTCTAGAATCAAGCTGTCCAGTTCTGTAAATAGAACGCAGAAAAAAATGACGAAATTAGGTCTTGAATTAGCATTCTGTTTAATTTTTCTTGTATTGGAAAGTTCCCTTTGTTGTGAGTCGTCATACGATGCTCTGTACGACCTTCAGAATAGATTGAAACATCGTCGGAAGGCTGGACGTACACATCCAAGGAACAGAATAATTGAAACCATCGTGCGAACAAAAATGGAATGCCTTGACATCTGTTTACGGACTTCTCAGTGTGCTTCTTTTACTTTGAAAGCAGTAAGGCATAAGCGTGGCACAAGGACTGCTTGGATCTGTTTGATAAACAAAGTAGCAAATTTTTCACAGAAGATGGCAACGCATGATTCTAAAGGATTCATTCATTTCAGCATAAGTGCCTCGAAGCTTCAGCAGGTCAGCTATTTTTTCAATTTTGTGTTTTAAAATCTGTCATAAATATTTGTTTGAGATTTGTCACTCTTTACTACCTTTTGGTTTCATTAGAAAGACAAGTCTTGGAATCCTTAGTTCATCATTTCAAAATTTGTACTTTATCATTTATGTCATCATCTTCGGATCGTAGCTAACATATCCAATTGCTACAGCACGTTTTCTTGCTTTGTTCCTCTGATGTTGTTGGACTTTCTGTTACTGCTTTAGTTTTATTCGAGTGACTATGGAGGCAGTCTGTTGTTTCACACAGCAATGGCACCAATCCTGTCCACACCCGCCTCAACAACGTAAACGTGTATTAAAATTTCTGACCCCTGACGCAGTATGCAGTCTGTAGCCTCTTTACCTCTTTTTCTTTCAGCTAGAGCTCCCACCAAATTCGATTTTAAAATTAGGACGCATATAAATTGCAGTATTGTATAACTCAAAAAGCTATTAACCAGGAAATGAATTAGAAATGCTTATATACCGAAGTCTTTCAAAACTCAGTTGTTGAAAAACCGATGATGATGTCCTATTCACTATTGCTGAATTAATTCCATAAGTGGAACTCTTACCGAGTCCAGTTATGGTTGTAGCTTTGAGAGTTCGCCAAGAAATCGCCAGTTTGGGTTATGAACTCGGCTTTGCTTATTTGATTATTTTTACCATACGCTCGGAAGGATCGCACCTTACATAATTTGTAAACTTTTTTTTTTTTTATTTGCATGAAATATATGCGAGGATAATTGCTATGTTAAATATTTCTTTCATTTCGTGATTCTATTTGACAGATTCTTTTGAAAGCTCCTGAGGGAAGTTGTTGAAGGAAGAGACCACCATTGCCGTCATTTTGTCACTTGGCTTCGTTCACTCCACAAGAAAGAAATCATCACACATTTAAGTCAGATCGTTCCACAATTTTAGTCATGTCAGGTAATAAGTCAGATAGGTGTTAAACAATGCGTAGTGCTTACCGCATCTCAATTAAGTTGGTGTTTCGCTCTAACTAAAGGCGCTATTTCACTTTCGCGGAGTCAGAGTCACATAAAATTCGAGTCTTAAGCTTGTCGCAGTCGGATTCGGGTGAAACAGAACATTTTCATTTCCTTTCGGTTCCACTTTAGACTTCGACACTTATGATACAGTGAAAAGAAATTCGTCGGGATCGCACACAAAAGCGGAAGGACGAAAGAATCACAGTGTTAGATCTTAGGCCATTCGATGGTTTGCGACTACGACAGTCCAGTTTCCTTTGGATCCTGGACGACTGACTTGTAAGCATCATCGATACTATTTTTCAGATTCCACTGATTTGATTTTCACTGGTTTGTATCACTCTTCAGCTCTGGTTACAAACTCGACTCCGAATCTGCCGGAAGTAAAAAACAGCCTTAAGAGGAGTGTTTGCCTAGCACCGCTTAACATTTGTCTGGCATTGCTATGAATATGAGCATTTTTGCAGGCAAAATCATAACTTACGCGAGTTTCAGGATATAAGAGAAGAAATATGAGAACAGATTGAATGTAATAAAAGGCAGCACCAGAGTAACTGTAACTGGTTGAATTAACAAACTGATTGCAAGTTTCCGTGGTCTGTTAAGTAATTGATCTCACATAACGTCATAATAAGATAAGAACAAAAAAGTGGCACATGTAGTTCACCAGGCGCGGCCGAGTGAGTCACTGATGTTCTTACCACATTTTGAAGTCTCGTTTGATCTGCTACTGCACAGACCCACGTCAACATAGAGTCTATTTGTTTTTTTATTTATTAAAAAAGCAAATGGTCTTGATGGTGTCGTAATTTAAGTGTCTTTCCTCCAATAGCCCATAAGCAAGAACCAGTCAAAATCGGTGTATGATCCTGCTTATCATTTAAAAAATATTGGCCCACGCTGTGCAGTCCAGGATGTCACTTTGTGGCACATGTAAATACAAAATGATTTTCCTACGGAAGCACTAGAACCATGGCGTGCAGTGTAGCGTTGAATAACCCCGTGATCAGCCACGTGATTGAAGAGCAAGGAACAAGCAAGGGAATTCATCGAAGATGGCGGTAAATTATGAATTTGTTCATGCTTAGCGTGCGTATATGGATGCACGCGGGAAGTTTGGAGAGCAAGAAAAATGCGTAAGAGTAGCTCGAGGCGCAGCCGAGGGCAACTCTAGTTTTTTGAGTGTCACAGAGCGACAACAAGGATCTGCGCGAAGAAGCCTTTGATTCTTTTTGTTTTGGTAAATTCCCAATTAACAACTGTGCACTTTATTCCCCAGGTTGAAAACATTTTACCATCAAGTGTTGTTAATGACCAATTGATGACTCTTTTTGTTCCCAGTGAATGTCTTTTTGGCCAAAATTTGTTGCAGCTGGTCTGCCGACAAATTTGCGAAACGTGCTACTTGCGAGTTTTTTTCGGCTTTATTTTTGTTGCTTGGTGGATCAGGACCTAAAAGGTCAATGCCGACAGAAAAATTGGGCAGTTCTTCGATGATTTCTTCCATATTTGAAAGAGAGGGAAAAATGCACTGCAGCTTAACAGGACGGAAACTCTGAAGCCAGGTAAAAAAAATGCTCACGTATTTACGCACGCCCGTGCGTAAATAAATATTTTGTTCATAGCGGTTCAATAGGACTTATATAGGGCAGGCACGCGCGCTATGTTATAGGATGGCATTTCGTTATAACAGTAATCTATTATCACCATTCATTTCTAGGATGTAAATGAACAGCTACGCTCAAAAGTGAATGAAATATTGGGATAAAAGTAAAGCCATGACGACGAACTAGGTCAATAAACCTACAATCTTTCCAGAAAAGCTGCGAATTCATTTGACCTTTCTGTTGAAATACAGTCCATATTCTCGCCACAGAAATTTTCCTTCTTCACCATTTCCCACACTCTTTTGGTAGAGTAGGTTTATAATGATATATGTGGAAATTTGCATTGACGTGTTTATAAAACTCGAAATTCAGTATCGACGAGCACCAATTTTTCACCTGGCTGGCATAAATGTAGCGAATCATAAATTAACTAAGGAACAAACAGAAAAATTTTAATAAGACAAGTTGCTTGATGAAATCAATTGCATTTTGGTTGTGTCAAGATCAATCTGGAGATCTCACAATTCCTTGAGAAACCAGACTGTAAACTAAGTACGTATATCACTAGAATGACGAGGCTGAATTTGCGCACAATCTTTCCCTCGTGTGTTCTTGTTCTGGTTGCAATCACAAGTAACGAATCGTGTCTAGGCTCTGCAGAAAATTTTGAACACATTTTACAGACTCGTCAGCTTCCCGGAAAA